TGCCTCTGTGAGCGCGCTTGGGGCCTCTGTGGGCTGGGACCTCTGTGGGCGCGCTTGGGGCCTCTGTGGGCTTTGCCGGAGGGCCTCTGCGGGCAGCGCGCGGGGGACTCTGTGGGCTCGCTTGACGACTCTGTGGGCTGGGGCCTCGGTAGTCGCGCGTGAGAGCGCCCGGCGCGCGTGTGGGGCCTCGGGAGGAAGTTGGGGCCCCAGTGGGCAGCGCGCTGGGGCCACTCTGGGCGCGCTTGGAGCCTCAGTGAGCTGGGGCCTCTGTGGGCGCGCTGGGGGCCTCTGTGGACTGCGTTGGGGGGCCTCAGTGGGCAGCGCGCTGGGGCCTCTGTGGGCGCGCTTGGGGCCTCTGCGGGCTGGGGCCTCTGTGGGCGCGCTTGGGGCCTGTGTGGGCTGTGCCGGAGGGCCTCAGTGGGCACCGCGCGGGCTGGGGCCTCTGTGGGCGCGCGCAGGCCCTCTGCGGAACGGGTGGCCTCAGTGGGCAGCGCGCTGGGGCCTCCGTGGGCACGTTTGGGGCGGGGGCGGGGGCCTGCGTGGGCTGCGTCGAGAGCCTCAGTGGGCAGCGCGCTGGGGCCACTGTGGGCGCGCTTGGGGCCTCTGTGAGCTGGGGCCTCTGTGGGCGCGCTGGGGGCCTCTGTGGACTGCGTTGGGGGGCATCAGTGGGCAGCGCGCTGGGACCTCTGTGGGCGCGCTTGAGGCCTCTGTGGGCTGGGGCCACTGTGGGCGCGCGTGGGGCCTCTGTGGAACGGGGGGCCTGTGGGCAGCGCTCTGGGGCCTCCGCGGGCACGCTTGGGGCGGGGGCTTGTGCCTTTGTGGGTGCTGTGTCGGGAGCCTCAGTGGGCAACGCGCTAGGGCCTCTGTGGGCGCGATTGGGGCCTCTGTGGGCTGGGGCCTCTGTGGGCGCCCTGGGGGCCTCTGTGGACTGCGTTGGGGGGCATCAGTGGGCAGCGCGCTGGGACCTCTGTGGGCGCGCTTGAGGCCTCTGTGGGCTGGGGCCACTGTGGGCGCGCGTGGGGCCTCTGCGGAACGGGGGGCCTCAGTGGGCAGCGCTCTGGGGCCTCCGCGGGCACGCTTGGGGCAGGGGTTTGAACCATTGTGGGTGCTGCGTCGGGAGCCTCAGTGGGCAACGCGCTAGGGCCTCTGTGGGCGCGATTGGGGCCTCTGTGGGCTGGGGCCTCTGTAGGCGCGCTGGGGGTTTCTGCGGGCTAAGGTCTCTGCGGGCTCTGTCGGGGGGCAACGCGCTGGGCCCTCTGTGGGCGCGCTTGGGGCCTCTGTGGGCTGTGCCGGGGGGCAGCGAGCTGGGCCCTCTGTGACCGCACTTGGGGCCTCTGTGGGCAGCGCGGGGAGGCCTCTGTGGGCGCGCTTGGCGTCTATGTGGGCTGTGCCGGAGGGCCTGCGGGCAGCATGCTACGGTCCCTGTGGGCTTACTTTGGGCCTCAGTGAGTTTTTCTCTCCATCGCAACAATGGTAATGATGAGGTTAACAACCGATGATTGCTCTGCGAGTCACCATGTAAACTTGCGCTACCTGTCGTAACGGCGCTGGCCGGGATGCCGCCTAGAGACAGAAACCACGGCTTCCAGCAGAGTTATGAGGGGCCTCAGTGGGCAGCTTGCCAGGACCTCAGTGGGCTGCGTCCGAAGGCATCACTGGACAGCGTTCTGGGGCCCCTTGTGGGCGCGCTTGGAACTTTTGTGGCCTGTGTCCGAAAGCCTCAATGAGCAGCATGCTGGGGCCTTTGTGGTTTGGGGGCCTCTCTGGCCAGGTCGTGTAGGAGTACTAAAGGGGGTGTCGAGCGGGAACCCCTGTCGTCGCAGGTGGGCCTCCGGCGCCGCTGCTGAATTGCAGTCTCGGGCCACGGGCTCTCGAAGCACAGCTGGGGGTAGTAACGAACGGGAGCCTTTGTCGTCGCGGCTTGGCCCACACCAAATTGACTGAATGGCGAGGGCCTCGAGCGAGGTCGCCACTCTTGAGTTCGTGGGTCTCTCTGGCAAGGGGGGCCTCTGCGAATACATCTTGAGAAAGTATCGAACGAAAGCCCTTTGTCGTTGCAGTCTCGAGAGATAGCGCCGTTCCTGACTTCGGGGGCCTTCCTGGCCAGGGGCTCTCGGAGTAAATCGTGAGGAAATATCGAACAGGAGCACTTGTCGTCGTGGCTGGGCCCCCGCCAACTTGATTAAAATGCGAGGAAGTCTTGAGCGAGAGCGCCGTTCCTGAGTTCGGGTGCCTCCCCGGCAAGGGTGTCTCGAGATAAATTGTGACGAAGTGTCGAGCGGGGGCCGTTCTTGTCGGAGCTGGGCCTCCAAGGGCCCACTTTTAGGCTCAAGCCAACGTTCGACCGGGAGCTTCGCTTTAAGAGAAAATGTAGCCGGCGTCGAAGCGAGAGCGCCCAGAACCGTTTCCGGATAACAGCAAGAATATGATTCCCTAGAAATGAATGAATCTTAAACCAACAACAACAAGAACAAGAACAAGAACAATAACAATAACAATAACAACAACAACAACAACAACAACAACAACAACAACAACAACAACAACAACAACAACAACAACAACAACAACAACAACAACAACAACGACGACGACGACGACGACGACGACGACGACGACGACATCGACATCAACATCAGCATCAACACCAACAACAACAACACAACAATAACAACAACACCAACAACAGCAGCAACAACAACAATCATGTTAAGACTGTTCGCTCTTACCTGGCCGAGTGTCCATTTACACGTATTTCCCAAACCCTCGATACCCGCCCTCTTCGTTTCCGATCGTACCCCCTTTGGGGGGTATATGTTTCTTCCCTGCTGGCCGGGCCCGGGAAAGCGGCGGGGCGGCCGCGGACCGTCGGCCTGGCCAGCGGCAGCGCTGACCAGCGGCAACCCGACCCCAAGAGGGACGGACAAGGGACCGACCACGACGACGACGACGACGAAGTCGATGACGACGACGGCGACGACGACGACGTCGATGACGACGAACGAAAGCGAGAGCGAGAGAGAGAACGACAGCAAGGCCACGAAGGACACGAAGTAGGCCACGCGACAGCGGGGACACGAAGGGAATGCGTATGGGGCCACGAAGAGCGCGAACGAGCGGGGGCCACGAAAGGCAGATAATGCGGGGCCGCAGAAGGCAACGACGGGGCCACTGACGGTAGCAACCGGGCCACGTAGGACAGAGAGGGGGCCACAAAAGGCGACAGCGCACGAAGGGCATGCACATGGGGCCACGACGGGCGCGAACGAGCGGGGGCCACGAAGGGCATACGTAGATTGGGTCGCGGAGGGACAGAACGGGGCCACTGAGGGCAGCAACGGGGCCACGAAGAGCATCGAGGGGGCCACGAAGGGCGACAGCAGGGCCGCGAAGGGCATGCACATGGGGCCACGACGGGCGCGAACGAGCGGGGGCCACGAAGGGCATACGTAGATTGGGCCGCGGAAAGCCAGAACGGGGCCACTGAGGGCAGCGACGGGGCCACGAAGAGCAGCGAGGGGGCCACGAACGGCGACACCGGGGCCACGAAGGGCATGCATATGGGGCCACGACGGGCGCGAACGAACGGGGGCTGCGAAGGGCATACATATATGGGGCCACGAACGGCAGCGAGGGGTCCGAGAAAAGCTGCAACGGGGCCACGAAGGGCACCGAGGGGGCGACGAAGGGAAGCGAACGCGCCACGAAACAAAGCGAGGGGGCCACGAAGGGCTGCAACGGGGCCACGAAACATAGCGAGGGGGCCACGAAGGGCTGCAACGGGGCCACGAAACAAAGCGAGGGGGCCACGAGGGGCTGCAACGGGGCCACGAAAGGCAGCGAGGGGGCCACGAAGGGCTGCAACGGGGCCACGAAGGGCAGGGAGATCCCGATTCTTAAAAGAGATGTGGGGCGCGAGATGGCGCGGCCACGGCCGCGACGTCCACCGGGGGGGCGACAGGGTAGGGTAGCAAACGGTAGGGTAGGGAGTCGGCTCACGAAGCTGGTTTTCCAGGCGCCTCCCCCCGGCGCCAAGAGGCGCCCATGCATCGAGGCATGGGCCCGGCGGCGGAGCGGAGACCAGCTGCACGCAGCAGATTTCGCACCCCCTCCTTTCCCCAGACGACCCTTTCACACGGTACCTGGACGCGGGCACGCCAAGCGGACATCCACTACTTTGGTGAAGTAATCCAGCGTTGAACACAGTTCTTCGTTCGAGTTCCTCGCTATAGAAAAAGTTGAACTTGTCCAGCGGAGCCCACGCCTGGACAGAAGCCGAAACCAAAGCCAGACACAGGCCCCATCAGCATTGAAATAAAAGAACTTCGTGTCATCTTGAAGGTGCTGAACAAAAACTCATTGATGATCAGATGGGTGGGTCGCGCACCACAGCAGAGTGCACCACGTCGTAAGAAGGAGTCTGGGTCCAAATGCGCAGAGGAGCCTGCAGCGCAGGTCCCAAAGCATCAAGGCGGCGCGCCGCCGATGAACCTGACCAGGGCGAATTGAAACCATCAAAACTTCCATCATCAAAACTGCTGCCCAAAAACTGCGCCTCCGCATTCCATTCCCCAACGCAATAATGATAATCGAAGACACTGCACACTCAAAGAGGCCAGCGGCCTCGCCTCCCTGGGGCGACCGACGTTTTCAGCCCGCAGTCTGGCCAAACATGGGCCTCCGTCTGCGGGCCAAGCACCAAATATCCAACAGCCACTTATTATTATTGCCTCCCTTCGGCTTGGACTTCGAATTCAGCGCCGCCCGGAGCCCCTGCCCGTCGGGGGTCCGAAAAGAGCGCGCCTGCCCGACCATCGGGGCTTTGGCGGGATTTTTCCAGAAGAGCCAGTTCAAAAAAATTACGGCCGAGAATGCTCTGGCGCGAAATCTAAGAACGCCAACGACCACTTCAACGCGAAATCCCCCTTCGGTCTGTTGTATCTGCTCGGGAACACCACCACCAATACCTTCAAGCGACGAACCTCGGTGGACTACATCACCCAGATCGCGTCGAGCGTCTCCTTGCCGACCTGGTCGCCTGGGCTCTCGCTCGCAATGCCCCCCGGGATCAGCAGCGCGCAAGCGGGGGGGCTGATGGCTGCAAAGGCATCGCTGGTCATATCCAGCGGGGGCCCGGGAAATTGCGCGTCTCTCTCATCTCCTGCGCGACGGCCGGCGTTTGACCCGCGTAGGTCTGGCCCCGCGCTCAAAATTCTGCCACAGAAGAATCCGACTTGAAGGGCAACCGCGTCTTGGGCGGCAGGAGACGGGCGCGCGGCGGCCTCGAAGGCCAGGAAATCCCTAATCAAGGGTGCGAATAGTTCGTCGTCGCAAAGCGCCGTGGCAGTACCTATGCGAGCTCGGACTCTCGCATCCTTCGGCTCGCCCTCCTCCATGGCCACATCAGCATCGCCACCGCCGCGAACTCTGTCGGCTAGAGCCTTGGCGCCCGCCGTAAATGCCCCCGGCAACTCCTCCGCCGCGGCGTCGGCGGCCGTCGCGCGCCAGGCGAGGGCGGGGTTTCCTCCAATGACAAACTCGACCAGTAAGCTTCGAACCCAAAGATACAAAAAGAAGTAAAATCAGCACCATCGCCATTCCACAGTACAATAAAGTGCACGTCACAATCGCCACGCAATACATCCACCCTAACTAGGCTGACGCGCTGGGCAGTGGCTCGCGATATACGAAAACAAGCATTTGAGAAGAAGCCGCGCGCTTCGCATAACACGCGGTGGCAGAATTTCGCATGGCAATTGAAAAACTCCCGTCTGGTCTGACATCCGCGTTCGTGCTACGACTCACCCAGGCCATTCGCATAAAACGTTCCACAACGAGCACATGGATGCTCGCGGAGGCTTGCGCGCGTGACCGCACGCACCCGTGTAAGCCACATGTCATGGGGCATGTGATGGGCACGTCTTGCGATGAACAGACTGCTTGAATTGTCCATTCGGGTCGCTCGGGGAAGTCTGGCGGCAAAAACGGCAGCAGACGCGGGGCGGGGCCGCCGGGGGCTGCTCGGGCGCGGGGAGCCCCGACATTCGGGATCGCGCAACACGGTCCTGAAACCGTTCTGGAGGCCCCGACGCCGCTATAATACACGCCCACGCATTTCGACGCGTCGCACACTCCGAACAAGCATCACGGCCTAATTGTAGCCAGAAGCCCCCCAAGCAATATCCATACTCTCTGCGTCTTAAACACTCGTTGAACATCTACACCTCTGCTCCATTCGCACCGCATCCACTGTATTTTTCTTGATCAACTGCTCGAAGAGCTCTCGCCCTGACGCCGAGGGCCAGCCGCCCTGCGGCGTCTCGATACCCGTCGAGCCCTTTGCCCTCGACGCGATACAGTCTCGACGTCTGCGAGGAGCTGAGCGAGGCGCTGGCGGGGCGGGGGCCTCGGGCGGCCCCCCGAGAGCCCGGGGAAAGAAGCGGGCAACGGCGCGGGGCTCGAGCTAGCATGCAAGCCCGCGCCCGCGCCCGCGGAGGCAGGGCCCGCCACTGGATCAATGGGAGGGGGGCGGAGAAGAGGAGGGCGCGGTTGCTTGCCTGGAAGCCGTCGCGCCCGCGGCGCAGGAAGAAGTGCTCAAGGAACAGCGCATCCGTCTGGCCCCGGGTCAGGCGCCGGAAGACGATGTTGAATAAGGGGGTCCTGCTGGGCGTTCTTACGCTTGGTCGTCTGCCTCGTGAGGCGCTTCTCTGGAGCCCGTCGCTCACCATGCATGATGTGATTGTTGAATCCCTTCCAAGGCCAGTAGTCACCACAGAAACGACAAATGCAGACCCCACTGTCCTTGCATCTTGTCCTTCCTGATATTTTCTCGAAACTACCGTGTCACGCACTGCTCTCGGGGGCCCCCAGGAGCACGCCGTCGACGCCATGGGTCTCGCGAAGCTTGGAGGCGAGCGCGGCGTCGCCAGCGACGCATAAGCTTAGCCCGCCGACAACGACCCCGAGCGATATCGATCCACGAAAAACCCCAGATGCCCCGATGGACGCCAGAATGCTGCAGAATATGCTCGACAACTCGCCAAAATATTTTACGCGCGCGGAGTCGGGCGCGGCCCGCGCGACGCGAACCGGCAAACTCCTCTGCTGGAGCCAGCCATAATATATCACGACCCATTCGATCTTGTGGCAGCCGAAGTTGGCGCCCTAGAAATTGGTATCAGCGTCAGTTGATGGATGCGCGTCGCAATCGAGTCGAAGTCTACCCCCCTCTCCAGCCGATCACGGTAGCTTGTTGACCACGCATGAATATCCGGCGTTGGCCCAGGAGACCGAGAGCTCATGGATTCACGAAGGTCCGGTAGCTCTCGATATCCTCCGCTGGGAAAATTCCCAGTCACATCCAAAAAGTAAGCAAGCAATCGCCGCGGCCCGCCACAATTGTCCAAGTGTCTTGGGGCCAAGAGCAAGTCGTGATCATTGGCCGCGAAGACGTTCCCCGCGGACCCCTGCTTTTTGGAGGCGCTTCTTATTGTCTGTCGTATAATTGCCACCACTCCGCATCCAAGCGCCAGGGAATCTCGAGGCCTCGGTAAAATGCTCGATCTTCACGGCCGAGCATAGACGCCCACATGATCCGGGTGAGCCGCCTCCGACCATTCGCCCCAGACCCGCCCAAGAAACTGTTCTACTCTTGCACGACGTGACCGTCAAGCTAGAAGGTTGGTGTCGGTTGCGAACAGGATCTCGGAGACGCCGGTCAGGCCGTCAGACGCGCCTGCTGGCGCATGAGTTCGCGTCGGGAAACGCCTTGCCCCAGCGCGCCGAACTCGTTGTCCTCGGGCAATCATGCGCACCCGATGTCGGCATATCCATGCTCGAGCGCCCGCGCCCCCAAGTCATATATAGCCGACGCGTAGAGGACGTCGAAGCCCACCGGCGCAGATGGACAGACCTGCTTTGAACCCCCTGCCTAGCGGCGAGAGCGGAGCTCTCAGATAGACCGCCCCTCGTCTTTTGCTGGCGCGCCGCGATCTCGCGCAGGCCCCGCAGCACGTGCTCAAGAGAGTCTGGTACGCCAAGCCGTCGTTGGTTATGATATACCACCTCCCTGACCACTCTGACACATGCCTTCATGATATCTGCACAAGTGGCCACCAGCGGGCCCAGGTTGGGATGCTCGGCGTAATCTATCTCGGTCGAGGACCCCATCGACAAACGAACTATCAGGAACAGCCCTTGTACGGCACGGAGTTGGCGAAAAAGGAACTGCGTGAGCGGCCGAATACGCTACTCTTCAGCATGGGCTAGCAATCGATCGGCTGCCAAGCGCGCAACAATGCGCAGAATAATGCCGATGGGGACGCAGTGTCGGTGCAGATTTGGGTCGGCGCGCGACCCCTTACCCTTCCATCGCAATGCCCCCAGGGCGGCCTTACTACTGGTTCCCAATATGCACGAGGCGCGCGCCACAAAGTCTGGGCGATGGCGACGCTCTCGCCCATGAGTTCCTCGCCTGCAACTCGCATCATTGAAATCGCAATCGCCTTCGCCTGAAGCACGTTCCCTCGCCTCCAAGATCGCGCGCCGCATTCCATCGCCGGCGAAGGCAATCCGCGCGAAGGGTCCGCGGGGCGGACATGTAGACCACGTTGTAGGACAGCATCTTCAACGTGTCCTGGAGCGTCGCTGACGCTCTTGAGGTGCTCGATCATCGTCTCCCCTGCGACCTGCCCCTGTCGTTCCCCTGACTCCTCGCGAACAGAAACTCGGAGCCTCTTGAGGTATCTGTAGAAGACCCCCCCCCCAGTCGTTTACCGCCGCAAACTTCATCAGGTCCGATACGATTGGCCTCACCCATCGATGTCGAGCGCGGTGCTTGAGTCGAAACAGCTGGCAGCCGATCTGACGACGTGCCATCTTGAAACTCTGTTCCTCCTCCGCGGCGTGGGCCTGCTGCCACTTCTCAAGTAGCAGCCTTCTCTCGCCGGAGTTCTTCGATTCGCGGCGCGTCTTCACATGTCAGAAGGGGCGCCGAGCTGCTGGGGGGGGGGGCCTGCCCTGGTCAGGCGCCTTGCCGGCCGTAACTTGTGCCGTCCGTGCCCAAGTCATGGTGCGTTGATATTATGATGTCTCCTGCTTCATATTCTCTGCTCGAATGGTTTAAGAAATGCGCTGCCTCTCGACCTAGCGGGTCGGCCACGCGCGGCGCGGACGTCGGGGGTCTCGAAGGCGGCGCCAGCGGAGGCGGCGGTAGTCCCGAGGGTGGTTGAAACGCCATATCATCTTAGATTTGCCCGGGTTCGCCCATGACTTCCCAATCTAAATCCCCGCGGGGGTCGGCGCCGCAACCACCCAGGCCCCTGCTGGGAAGGTCGGCGCGCCAAACAGAAACAGGACGAGCCTGGGCCCCAGGGCGCAAAGCAGCCCGCAGCGCAGGCCACAAAGCACCAAGGCGGCGCGCGGCTGAAAGACCAGGCTACCCAACAAGCAACTCTCCGGTCCCAGGGCGCAGAGGAGCCCGCCGCGCAGGCCCCAAAGCACCGCGGCGGCGCGCCGTCGAGGGACCGAGCAACCCAACAGGCGCCCCCCCCGCCCCGCGGCGCAGAGGAGCCCGCAACGCGGGGCTCACAGCAGTACATCAAGGCGGCGCGCCGCCGAGGGAACGGGAGACCCAGCGCCAGCCGGCAGAGGCGATGATGGCGGTCGCGGAGGAGCCGAGCTCGAAGTCGCGGCGCCGCGGATCGCCCCCCAGAGCATGAGCTCCCTGTTGCATAGTTCATCTGCTGCAGCGTCGCCTCGGTCGCCACCTTGATCACCTGAATGTCCCTGGACGTGCCCCATGGCGAAATCTCAAGTTCGCCCCGCGCGCCGGTGGAAAGCTCGGCCCAGACCGATGAGCTTCTCTTGTCACACGGGCGCCAGCTACCAATTATCATCTGCATCGCAGATTTGGAGTCATAACGCAGCGCAACACAGTATTGCCCTGAGGCTTTGTCCAAGACTCACCACATTGCCATGGCCATTGCAGATAGCTCGCCCTCGCAGTCGGTCAGCACTTCAGCACCCATATAACACGTTGTATGGCGGGCGTCTGTAGTGCAACCACGGGCCCGCGAGAATCTGCCCAATTCCAATTGCGAAGCCACAAACATAACAATCCCCACTCAGCGTTGCCATCTGCACCTGAACCGTCCGTGAAAGTATGGCAATGCTTCCTCGCGTTGATCCGGGAATGTGGTGACCCTGTCGCGCTGCTGTGGTGATCCTGACGTGCAGGGAGCAAGGTGGGGTGATCTGCCAGTGGCCGTTGAACCTCGGCCGATGAGAAAGTCGCAGGCGTTCTGCTTCAGGCGGCGGGCCTCGCATTCGATGAATGGCGATGGGGGCGAATTCTTGTTTTTATCGTGCTTGACGCTGTCAATGTTCATAATGTGCTTTGCGCGTGGCGCGGACGTGGCGCGAGTGGGGCGTCGACGGCTCCAGGCGCAGGCGCTCGCCCACGTGATCTGAAATGCCCCAGCGTCGCGTTTCAAGTCACCGGGTAGCCCGGCGAAGGCCTGGGCCCAGCACAAACTTGTCAATAACACACCAGCTACCCGTACTTTTGTGTCTCCACGCACCGCGACAAGAGGATTTGAAGGCGTCGGTGTTGACGAGGTTGGAATCGGAAGAGATCCAGCGGACGAACGCTTTGCCGCCCCCGGTGGTCTTTTGCTTCGTTGGTCCGGAACCAGTCTGGATGTCGACGCCGATAGTATCGCGCCCGACATGCCCATTCCAGTCCCCCCAAATCAACTCCGAGCCTGGGCGCAGTTGTTGACAACGACGGCGGAGATCCTTCAGGCCTGAGTATACTTGGGCACGATGCACCGATCAGCAACTCGTTGGGGTATATACCGGATAGTCCACAGCCAATGGTGATCATCAACGAGAAGAGGTATAGCCATGCAGCGGTCTTCCCATAGCACTGCAAGAGAAACGTCCGATCTGCAAAAAGACGAAGCCGTTCGCCATGCCAGTTGAGAAGAGGCACCCAATGAGATGCCACACGTCTCCGCCATGACGATGGCGAGGTCCTCGGCGGCAAACTCATATTCCACTATTGCTCACTACCTTCACTACGGTGCACTACCTTCACGGTGGCGTTATGTAATTCGGAAAAACAACAATATTTCCTTTGGGAACTTTCTGCCGTGGTTGCCGCAACGGGCCCAATTCACCCCCTCCGTGTTGACGCTCGCCACTCTCACCTTCCGTGGTAATGGTCACCGCAACGGCCTCAGAGGGTTTCTACTTCTGAAGTGGCGTCGTCCCCCCTTCACGCTGTCAAAATTGAGCGTGGTGATTGACGGCAGCCGACCTGAAAGTCTCGCATCCTTTCAGCAACGTCAAAATGCGCCCCTTGGGGCACTGCCACATCCTCGCAACCACTGCGAAATAGCAAGGAGAGGCGCCTTATGCAATTCGTGAACAGAGTTGTCACGGCAGGAACTTCGTCAATACCACATATATGTTTGTTCATATAATGGTAGCGAACGGCTTCTCCGTGAACCTGTGGGAGGCGTCCTACAACACGGATGAGGTAATACAGCCTACGTTAGCACTACGCAGCACTACGTTTGCACTACGTCTGCACTACGTTAACACTGCGTCAGCATTACGTTAGCGTTACGTCAGCACTACGTTAGAACCACGGCGTGGATTATGGCAGCAACGACTTTTATCTGCGAGCCCTGTTCAAGGGCTTCGGGCTGCTCGAATATGTGCAGGAGCTTCACACCTATCGACACGTCTGATCAGGCTAAGGGATGTACTTAATATCATGTTGTGCGTCATGTCTTACGGTTTGCGTCCAGGGCCCTGGCCCGAGACATGCACCTCAGCAAGAGTCCTGGAAAGTGGGTACGCCTTAAGTGCCATCCTACATCACCAGGTTTCACACTTGACTTGCTATTTTCGCCAACCTCGGCTAACTTGCGCTGTACAATACATGCGTATGCTTCGCGCCCAGGGCCCTCATGCAGGGCATCTCTCTGCAATAGTGCCCCGATGGGTGGGTACGCCATAAGTGCCAGTCCACATTCACTTTTGACTCGGTGACGCGCGTTGCAGAGTCCGTGGTACCCGTATCGAGAGCTTCGCGTCCAGTGCCCTGCAGGGAGGAGCAGTCTCCTGTAGTGTCCTGAAGAGGTGGGTACGCCTTAAGTGCCAATCTGTCTCCGCTCGTCTTGCAGATAACGGCAAGGTACCGTCGTCTCGCATTTGGCACTGCTAGATAGCTACGCGTTGCGTCCAGGGCCCTGGCTGGTGGATATTCTGCCAGCAGCGAGGTGTCCAGAAGACGTGCGTACGCCTAAAGTGCCAATCCATATTGTCAGCAGGGCATCACTCTGCGATTATTTCAGGCTGCGCTGGGTACGGCTACCTCGTGCAACACAATACTTCCCCAATCAGAGCTTGCCTCTGTAGGGGTCCTAGCGGATTCATATGGTTAGTTTAGGTTTGCCGCCGATTTTCGCGGCACGCCCGGGTGGCCGGGTGGCCGGGGGTGCCCGGGTGCCCGGGTGCCCGGGTGCCCGGGCGTGCCTGGGGGTGCCCGGGTGCCCGCCCTGTAGCTCTATAGCATTATAACCCTAGAGCCTTATAGCCTTATAGCCCTATAGCCCTATAGCCCTCTAGCCCTATAGCCCTATAGTCCCAATAGCTTTACAACCCTATAGCCCTAATAGCTTCATAGCTTTATACTCTTATAACCCTATAACCCTATAGCCCTATAGCCCTATAGCCCTATAGCCCTTTAGCTCTCTAGTCCTCTAGCCCTATAGCCCTATAGCCTTATAGCCCTATAGCCCTATAGCCCTTTAGCCCCATAGCCCTATATGGTTTCAAATATTGTGATTGGGGTCTTTCTCTGGTATCATACAATAGACGCTCCGCGTCCGTTGCTGCTGAAATGATCTGCAGCGATGCATATGTTATGTTGTTCATTGTTCAGAAGTTGCAGTGCTCATCTGGCCGGATGCCTGGCCAATAGAACGCCCCTCGGTCGAGTCCGCCAATATTGAAGGGGACCTGGAACACACAAATAAATACACACAAATAACAATATCCCCCATATTTCCATATATTTTCTGGGTTGTTGTCTTCCCCCCCACTTCCCATATTTTCCCATATTTTCTGGGGAATCGAGGATTAATTGTGTCTGAGTGTTTTTTCCTCGCCTGAAATATAACCTCGAACCGTGTTCCCACCACAGCGGTGGAAAGAAGGATTCGCCGAAGCTGCTCGGCTGAGGTAGGTCAAACAACCTCTGCCCCCCCATGGCGTTCAAAAAAAACTCCACACCCACTCCATCCTCACCCCCCTCTCGGACATCTCCGCCTCTTCGGCACCGGCGACTCACTGGGCCACAACTCTGGTCTCTGGCGGCCGTTCGGGACGATCCCGGCACCTCTGGGAAACCCTCGACGAGGCGCAGCTGCTGGAAAGCACTCCGAAGCTGTAAAACCGACGAAAACGCCCGAAAACCTGGGACCCCCAAGACTTCCGTCGGGAAACAGAAAGATACCGACACCGCTACTCCCAGGACATCTCCCTGGGTGCCTTCTGACCAGACTTGCTAGGAGAATCCAGCCATGACAACGAGGGCCTCCCAGGAGGGCCAAAAACGCCAAGACGAGGGAAGAGTAGCGATTCCTCGGATCCGCTCTGC